TGGGTTCAAGTGATTCATTCTCCTGCCTCAGCTTCCCAAGTAGCTAGGATTACAAGCACCCGCCACCACTAATTTTTGTATTTTTAGTAGAGATGAGGTTTCACCATGTTGGCTAGGCTGATTTTGAACTCCTGACCTCAGGTGATCCACCTGCCTTGGCCTCCTAAAGTGCTGGGATTACAGGTGTAAGCCACCTCACCCAGCCAAGTCTGGAGTCTTCTTTAAAGGAAGATTTGTCAACTATAAATTCAATGCTTTAATAGACATAGAGCTGTTTAGGTTATTTATTTCCTTCTTTTTAAAAAACATTTAAGTTTTTAATTTTTGTACGTATATAATAGGTACATCTATTTATGAGGTACATGTTTTGATACAAGCATGCAATGTGTAATAATCATATCATGGAGAATGGGGTATCCATCCCCTCAAAAAAACAAAAAAAGATGGTTAGATGCCATAAAGTGTGTTGCAATGCCTTAACCGTATGCATGTCAGGGCCTCTTTCATCCTTGTCAAGCGGAGTGCTAGCCTTCTCTCCTTTCATACACACTATCTATTTCTTCTTAAAAGAGCTTAAGTAGTTTGTGCTTTCCAGGAATTTGTTTAATCTAAGATGCTGAATTTGTTGTCCTGAAGTTGTTCATAACAGTCTCTGATTATCCTTTCAGTAGTGATGTCATCTCTCATTCCTGACACTGGTAATTTGTGTCTTGTCTTTTTCTTGTTCAGTCTGACCAGAGATTTTTCAGTTTTATTAATCTCAAATAATCAGCTTTTAGTTTCACTGATTTTCTCTATTGCTTTTGTTTTCTATTTTTTTGAATTCCACTCTGATACTTATTATCTGCCTTCTTATACTCACTTTGGGTTTCATTTGCTCTTACTTTTCTAGGTTTTTTTTTTTTTTTGAGACAGAGTCTTGCTCTGTGGCCCATATTGGAGTGCAGTGGCATGATCTCAGCTCACTGCAATCTCTGCCTCCTGGGTTCAAGTGATTCTCTTGCCTCAGGCTCCCAAGTAGCTGGAACTGCAAGCGTGCACTGGCATATTCAGCTAATTTTTTTTATTTTTAGTAGAAATGGGGTTTCACCATGTTGGCTAGGCTGGTCTCAAATCTCTGACCTCAAGGGATCTGCTTGCCTTGGCCTACCAAAATGAGCCACCATGCCTGGCTGACTTCTAGTTTCCTAAGGTGACTGCTGAGGTCACTGATTTGAGACCTACCTTTTAATACTGTTTTAGCTGCATCCCACTATTTTTAAATGTTGCATTTTCATTTTCATTCTGTTCAAAATACTTTGTAATTTCCCTTTTCTTTGTTGACCCATGAGTTATTTAAAAGTGAGTTATTCAGTTTCCAAATATTCAAAGGATTTTCCAATCTGTTAATGATTTCTACTTTAATATTAAATATCATTCTGGTCAGATAACATACTGGTTTAGTAGACGGGAATATGATCAGGCTTAGTAAATGTTTTAATGCACTTGAAAAATTGTGTATTCTAGGCTGTTATTGTGAGGAATGTTCCATAAATGTTCATTATGTCAAGTCGGTTGACAGTTATGTTCAAGTCTACTATATCCTTAGTGATTTTCTGGGTATTTATCCTATCATTTATTGAGAAAGAACATTCTCCAACTACATCAATCTCCGACTACAATTGTGATTTTTCTCCCTCCTTGCAGCTATTAGTATATGTTTCAAGTATTTTAGAGCTTGGTTGTTATGTGCATAAATGTTTAGGATTATCATGTCTTTTTGATGAATTCACCCCTTCATCATTAGAAAATGATCTTCTTAATTTCTTATAATATTATTTGCTATAAAATTCAGAAGATCAGGTATGGGGATTAAGACTATAAATTCAGTTTTGGATATATACATGTTTATATATGTGGTGAGATAGATATCTAAGTACAACCATCTGAGAATTCAGATGAGATATGAAGATAGATATTTGGGTTAAGATAGTATTACTGTAGCATCTACTTCAATGCCAATAAATAAAGGTGCTCCTTGGCCGGGCGCAGTCACTCACGCCTGTAATCCTAGCACTTTGGGAGGCCAAGTAGGCAAATCACGCGGTCAGGAGATCGACACCATCCTGGTGTTGATCTGACTAACACGGTGAAATTCCAACTCTACTAGAACTACAAAAAATTAGCCAGGCATGGTGGCATGTGCCTGTAGTCCCAGCTACTTGGAAGGCTGAGGCAGGAGAATCGCTTGAACCCGGGAGGTGGTGGTTGCACGGAGCCAAGATGGTGCCACTGCACTCCAGCCTGGCGACAAAGCCAGACTCAGTCTCAAAAAAGAGAAAAAGAAAGAAAAGAAAAAAAAAAGGTGCTCCATACACATTCATAAGTAGTCTGACTCTGGTTTCCAAAGTAATTACATGGTTTAGAAATCATCACTTGATCCTAGGTCATGCCAGTATAAGTTCATGGCCCCAAATGAGTGCTTAAACCAGGCGTCCCCAAACTGCGGCCCGCAGGCTGCATGCGGCCCCCTGAGGCCATTTATCCGGCCCCCCGCCACACTTCAGGAAGGGGCACCTCTTTCACTGGTGGTCAGTGAGAGGAGCACAGTATGTGGCGGCCCTCCAACGGTCTGAGGGACAGTGAACTGGCCCCCTGTGTAAAAATTTTGGGGACGCCTGGCTTAAACTCTATCATGCTTTCTAGTGAATTATTTCTAGTGAATTATTATCTAGTAATAGCTATTCTAGATCTTTTCGACACTTCTTAAATCTTGGGTTTCCTACCTCCCCTCTCATTTTCAGTTGATGTTTTTCTTTCCTCATTCACAATGAAAACAGAAGCCATTAGATAATTTCTTCACCTTCATTCTAATAAATACATACAGTTACCTGCAACTACAACCCACGTTTCTTCCTCTCCTATGTGTTTTTCCTGTGTCCAAAGCAAATACCTCTACCTATACTTTGGATGTCATTCCCCAAGTATGTTATTAAAAACAGAGGACATCTCATTAGGATAGAATTATCTCATTATTCCTCTTTTTTCTGTACCGGCAAACCTTATCTTATCTCCTTTCCATTAGCTTTAGGCTGCTCAAGAATCTCTCATTTTAAATCATCTCAACACTACATCATCCTTCTAGCTCCCATATTCTCTTCTTCACAGCCAAACTTCTTGAGTTATCTCTACTTGCCATCTCTATCTCATCATCTCTTCATTCCGCCACTATGGTAATATGTAGCTTCCACCTCATTACTCCAATGAAGCTATTCTTGGTGAAAACACGTATCTTCTACTTCTTTTCCTACTTGACTTTTTAAGTGGCATTAAACACTCTGAACTACATTCTCTGACCCGAACTTCCTCGCTCCTTGGCTCTTGGTTTTCTTCGTCCTTCACCGGCTGCTCTTTCTCCATATGCTGTGCATCCTCTGAAGGTTCAAACCCCTTTATGTCTAATATGCCATCTCCGTTGGTCTTCTCTTCAGCTCCTCGAGCCAACTGCCGCCTATACGCCGAAGATGCCCAAATATCTGTCTCCAGCATGGCCTCCTTCCTGAGCTCTCAATCCTTCTATTCCACAGCCTAACAGAAAAATGCAGTGGCTGGAAAAGCTATGACTTGTGTTGAATTTTAGCTGTACTGCTTGTTGATCCTGGCCAAATAATGGCATTTTAAGCATATTTTCTCATCCCAAAATAAAGGGGGTTAATCATACTGTGCTTTCTTCACAAAGATGTTTTAGGATCATTACAATGAATCATTACAGCAAAGAATGCTGTAAGCAATAACTCACTGTATAAACTAAGCTACTGCTATTGTCATTTTTCAAGGTCTCATTTGGCTTCCTGCAACACTTCAATCCATAAAATAGGTAAGTGTTCCAGTGAGCTGAGCTTATTTATTATCTTTTAATGATAAAGATAACAGATGTCAGCTTCTGAGACAGGTAAGATGCTGATTTGAGCTTTAGAATCCATTTTTGAGTTTGAGAACAAATATTCTACGCAAAGAGTTGCAACCTCAAACGACTATAGGGACCAGACAGTTAACATACATGAGCCAAGCCGGCCAGGCAAATAACTGTCTTACCTGAAGGGACCGCTCTAGGTACTGGTAACACACGTGATTTGGGGTCCAATATTGATAAGTTTGATTTTTCTACAGAGGCTGAAAAACTAGGTTTTTAAAGTTTAGGCCTTTCAATCTTTTTTTTTTTTTTTTTTTTTTTTGAGGCGGAGTCTCAGTGTGTTGCCCAGGCCGGAGTGCAGTGGTGTGATCTCAATCTTGGCTCAATGACTGCAACCTCCACCTCCCGGGTTCAAGCGATTCTCCTGCCTCAGCCTCCGAGTAGCTGAGATTACAGGCGTGAGCCACCGCGCCCGGTCTTTAAATGACAGCAACGAATTCACGTCCTGCTATCCACCCCCAACCCCCAAATACTGCGTGGGTCAAAAACCAAAAATGCATTTTCTGTGAGCCATTCCCTTATTATCCCACAAGGAAAGTCACCTCGTCATGTTGGGCACTATGAACCCTTCCAAGTGGTTCAAGAGGACCTGCTTTTTGTCTCGGAAAAGGCGACGGTGCGAACGAACCTCGAGGGCACGGCTGCCCAGAACGAAGGTTTTCTGCCCCCGGCTCCCACGGCTGGTCGCTGCCCCCGCCCAGACTGGGGCCCTCTGCTCGGAAGACAGGGGGGTGCAGCAGCCTTTCACCCGCACACTGCCGGAGGGGGCTGCCAGCCTTACTCGCCAAGCGTCACGGGAAACGCCGACCTCCGGAAGGCAAAAACCAAGTCTTTATTGAAGGCTTAACGGACGCGAACGCCGGGCTCCTTAGCCAACTGAGAGAAGAAGGCGCGAACCCGTTTTTCTCCCACTGCTAACAGCAAGCGGGAGGCAGACGCCACCCAGAGGACGGTGAAGCGCTTAAACCGGAGACAGCTGAGAGGAGCCTCCCGCAAAACAGACCACGTGGGGAACGGTACCGGGAGCTGGGACGCGGCGCCGAACTACCTGGGCGGGAATCGCCACGGCGACGGCTCCGCGCGCCTCCGCTTGAGTCCGGCCAGCCGGGCGCTCGACGGCAGGAAGTTCGTCACGAGCCCGGCGACGCCGCGCACGCGCTGTCTGCATCGGACCTCTGCGTCTGCGCGCGCAGCCAGGAAGTGAGGCCGCAGCGGGAGGGGATGGGGCTGGGCCGCGACGCGCTCTCACGCGCGCCTACGTCACGGCGTCGGGGCGGAAGATGGTGCCGCTCGGGGCCGGCGGTTGCTGAGCGGACCCGGAGAGCGAGGCGGCGGGAGCCCGAGCCCGACCACTCCGGCTGCCGCGGGGTGCGGCGCTGCCACCACCATGTCGCTGCTGCAGTCGGCGCTCGACTTCTTGGCGGGCCCAGGCTCCCTGGGCGGCGCTTCCGGCCGCGACCACAGTGACTTCGTGGGGCAGACGGTGGAACTGGGCGAGCTACGGCTGCGGGTGCGGCGGGTTCTGGCCGAAGGTGAGGCCCGGGTCGGCGGCGCGGGTGCGGCCGCGGAGCGTCGTCTCCCGAACGCTGCGGGCAGCGTCAGCCGGGAGTGGAAGGGCGTGGGTCGGGGCTGGGGAGGGTCCCGGCGGGGGTCGTGGGTCACGGTCGGCCAGGGGAGGGTCTCTGCCGGGGGCGCGGGTCACAGTGGGGCGGGGGTCAGTGCCGGCCGGCGGCGATCGCGGAGGGCGAGGCTGGGTGCGGGTCGGGTCCTTCTGGTCCTAGGAGTAGGGTCAGGTTGCAGCAAGGCCTGGGGCTCGGGGACCCCCCTGAGGGTGGGTGGGGGAAGACGTTACAGTGAGGATGGTGGCCGGCAGGGAGCTTGGGTGGGGGCCATAGCGGAGGCTGAGGGAGGCTGCCTGGAAGGCCGGCAGCTGGAGGCAGGAGGTGAGCGGTGCGGGAGCGGGGCTTAAGCCTTGGCCTTTTCCCTGACGTCTAGGGTTATTGGGCAGGCAGGGACAGGGCTGGACTTTGGAGGTGAGGGCTGGTTCTTCTAGAGTCCAGGGAACTTCAGACTGGGTGGTTGCACACGCGTGGCAGGTAGTTGGGGTCGGTCGTAGCCTGGGGTTGGGTTGCTGAGGGTAGACAGGGCTGTGTCTCGTGATCTCGTGACCCCTTCTTAGCACCTCAGTGTTTCTCTTCCCGGTGAACATCTACTTGTGTGATTGCATGTGTAGAACAGGAAGCAGAGCTAGTAGCTGTGACCTACATTGAACTTGCAGAGTGAACCGGTCGCTCAGCTTAAGTACTCTTGAGCCAGTCTCTAGTCAGTTTCGTTTCTGCATGCCATTTCTAGCTTCCTGAATGTCCTCTCCGTCTGTCACACGGTGTGGGGAACACTCCCGTGTGAGACCCCTAAAAGGCGTGAGTCTCGCTATACGGTGAGTTTGATCCCAAACACAGTTTCCTACTGGAGGCAGTCGAGCTATCCGGAATATAGGAACTTAAAGATGAATGATCAGTTTCTAATATCAACCACAATATCGTTTGGGCCTAAAACTATGCGTTGCTGCTAGACCGAGTGACCCCCTGCCGGCAATCAGTTCCTGCTTTTAACCTTTTTATGACTCTTTAAGTATAAGTTTTAACCTTTACTTACCTGACTGCCTTGTACCCTAGATAATGGTTTAACTGTCGATATTTGCAAAGCAAAACACCATAAGGGATGGCTTTGATTCCTGACTCAGAGATTCCTGAATGGGGAAGTTGAGTTAAGTTGAGTCAGGAGTAGACAAAGGAGAATCTGATTAAAAGATATTCTGATGAGCAAAACCAAAAAACCTTTTCACATTTCAGTTCTAAAACAAGGTCAAACCAGAGATACCTGCAGCCAGGAGGAATAATGTTTGGATGTAAACAAGCTTTGTGAATGTTTGGATGTAAACAAGCTTTGTGAATAATGTTTGGATGCAAACAAACTTTGTGATTGTAGGAAATTCTGTTACTTTTTACAACCATTGATTGCATATCTGACTTCTCTATTGTATAGGCCATGTGAGGCATACATTTGCATTCCTCTTACTATGACAGAAACCAGAGCCAACAAAGTGTATTTATTCCTGGCCTTTGAAAAATAAAATTTGCTGTTTAGGCACAGCCTATCAGCCCTCCAGATGCCTCGCTTTCTCTCTCTCTGTCTTTATTATTTTTCCAGGCGCACTCCCTCTTCTAGGTATTGGGACCCTCTTGCAGGTCGAGAGACCCCCGGGCAGACGTGCCTACCGGTCCCGGACGGTCCATGACAACACAGAATCGATCACCAGTGTCAGTGGGTCCCATTGTCTCTTGTGGATCTTCCTTACTTTTTTGTCCAGTGGTGCCTGGGGGTGTGTCACGTTTCAGTGGCTGTGAAGTTTATTGGCTAAACACAGATGACTTCGGTGCTGCAACGTAAGGCTGTTCTGCTATGTTGGCACAGGGAGAGGGAGTGAAGCCACGCAGAAGCCCTCACCCGCTCCGTGGTACCTCTCAGGGCTGGAGGGTTTGCCTGTCCAGGTGGCCGCCCTGTGACCAGAGAGGAAACTATCCCAAAATTCTGATTATCACAGAAGGCTTGCAGAGACATTTTGACTGCAGCATTATCACACACTTTGTCTCCACTGTGGTCAAGACCAAACAGATTTTGGGTATGATTTGGTAAGAAAGCTCTAGGCTCTTCTTTCAGAGGTGGGGGCCAAAGTGTGATATTCTTTCATATTTGTTAGAAGACAGACTTCCCCCAGATCAACTCATTTATTATGGAAATACTAGGTGGTAATCTTCATTCTTTTAAGAAATCCATAGTGGACAGGACTTGGTTTCTGGAACTTCAGACTTGTGCTCTGGGGTGGAGAGACGAGGCAGTATGGGGACCGATCCTGGGGGGTGGTACAGACAGGGTGACCTCCGGGGAGGGACCAGCAGACGATGGCATGGATGGGATGGGAGGGATGGAGAATGCACCCTCACTGGGGCCCAGAGAAGACTCACGTAAAGAAAGAAAACTGTGGGTCACTTAGCAACCAGGAAGAGGAACAAGGAAATGTGGGCGGACGCTCATGTTGTGCAAAAGAACTCATTTCCCTTTGCTACCTACGCGGGTCAGGAGATAAAGATAACCAATGCAATGAGGAGTTGTAGATTTCCTCCTTGTAAACTTAACAGGTGGCTTGCAGCCTCCTGAGTACTTTGAAGGCTCTTTGAACTGAAACAGGGTATGAAAACGGAATGATTTTAATTTACATAAACATATTTAAATAAGTTCTGTCTGGACAGCAACCTCAGAATGTAGGCTGTCTTATGTAAACATGGCGACGGCCCGTAATCGAACGCTTGAGTACAGATACTTGCAGTGTCAGAATTTTTCAGGTTTCAGAATGATCATTGCAGCATGTAACGCTGTATATCATGGGATACTCCCAGAGGAGTTGGGAAAGTATTCTGTAATTGAAGACATTAGTGTTTCTGTAATTAAATGAATAAATATTCTCACTGTGGGATAAAGTCTGTAATTAGCCCTGTATCAGTTCATGTCAGGTTTTATCCCAAATGAGGTTATGATAGATTTGCTGTCAAATGAGTTAAGAAAAAATGGTTTTCATAGCTTTTAGGAATTTGGACTTATGGTTGAGTGGGTTTTTAGGCAGAACTGTGGAGCCAGATAGCTTTCTAATTTTTTCAGATTTGTTCTGTCATCCTTTTTTTTTCTTTTTTTAAGAGATGAGGTCTTACTCAGGATGTATTTGAACCGTGTTCTAGATCTTCCTACCTCAGCCTCCTGAGTAGCTGGGGTTACAGGCATGTGCCACTGCACCTGGCTAGTCTGGTTTTTTTTTTTTTTTTTTTTTTTTTTTTTGGGACAGAGTTTCATTCTTGTTGCCGAGGCTGGAGTGCAATGGCGAGATCTTGGCTCACTGCTACCTCCATCTCCCGGATTCAAGCGATTGGATTACAGGCACGTGCCGCCACCACCGGGCTGTTTTTGTATTTTTAGTAGAGACGAGGTTTCACCTCGTTGGCCAGGCTGGTGTTGGAACTCCTGACCTCTGGTGATCCACCTGCCTCGGCCTCCCAAAGTAGTGTGAGCCGCTGCGCCCGGCCTAGTCTTCCTTGTTTTAAAAGGCAGATGATCAGAAGCACCAACAGTGTCAGAGATGCCTAGGATGAGTGTATTCTGTGTGTTCTTTGCTTTGGGTTCTGTGTGCCGTGGCTTCTGAAATGGAACCTGCTGTGCCCTGACTGCAGGAGATCCACCTTTCCTGTGTGGATGACTTGAACTCTGGGTTAATGCTAGTGAGGTAAATTGAGGTAGAAAATGAAAACAAGGCACACAACCACCGTGTAGTTGAAGTATAACTTGCCTCGTGCATTTGGTTAGGTGTTGCGTGTAACTTCAGCCTGCCAGCAGTCCTCGTGTGCCATGTGCAGCGTCAGCTGGGTGGCAGGGCCCGCTCGGGAGCCTTGGGGGTCAAGCTCTGGCCTGGGAAATGGTGAGGGCACAGCCTTCCCCACCTTCTCGGGCCTCCTTGGCCTCCGTGGCCTCCTCGGCCTTCTCATGCTCCCAGACCCACTCATTTGTGTCCTGGCTCTTCACGTCTTCCTCCTAGACGTGGCTTTTGGAGGTTTCCTCCCTTCACTTAGGTAGAACGTTCTGGACTGGGTGAGGGCACAGGCAATATTTGGTACTGACGGACAGTTGCAGAATTGTGTGGTATAGACAAGCCTCTTGGCTGCAAGTTTCAGAAGCCCTCCCAGGTGGGCTCAGTGGCTGGGGAGGCCCCACGTTGGCCCTGCATGTCCTCTGCAGGGTGCACTGTAGATCGTTTCCTTTTATGGGAAACAATCTGGCTCTGTCGCCCAGGCTGAGTGCAGTGGAGCGACCACGACCCACTGCAGCCTTGAACTCCTGGGTCCACGTGATCCCCCTGCCTTGGCCTCCTAGAGTGCTGGGACCACAGGTGTAAGCTAATGTGCCCGCCTTAGACTGACCTTAAAAGTAGACCCAGTTGGGCATGGTGGCTCATGCCTGTAATCCCAGCACTTTGGGAGGCCGAGGTGGGCAGATCGCCTGAGGTCAGGAGTTTGAAACCAGCCTGGCCAACCTGGTAAAACCCGGACTCTGCTAAAAATACAAAAATTA